GGGAGCCTGGAATCCAGTAAGAGGATCATTCTGAGATGAGGCTCCATTTTCTTAAATGTTTCAGCTAGTTAAATCCCCAGCCTGGTGCCCTGGGGACCAATCATTTGAAGCTTAGGTTTTGGCTCATGTTTAGGTCTTCCAAAAATGGCAGTGTAGAAAAGTACTTGATGTATAATATGAATTAGGTGTGGGAAAGGTATTTATTTATTTCTTCCATACAAAAGAAATGCTAATGGATACAAAAGACCCATAGTGCACATTTACAGGACAATTTAAAATAGGATTCAATAGCAACTTATAACTACAGTACGGTTATACTCTTATGGGAGGCTGGTACTTAAACCTCACTGGAATATAAAACGATTTATATTCTTGCTTCTTGAGTGTTCAGACAATTCCGTGTTGGCCTCATTCATCTTTGATGAAGAAACTCTTCTAGCAACCAGTCAGCTACACCACATGGATCTCTGGAACTCACAAGTTTGCTTCCAAGATGAATGTATCCATCTGGAGAATGTATCTTATTATCTACTCAGAATAGAAAGTACACAGCAGAAAAAGCAGCCAGGGGTCTAAGTGCAAGCTCTCCTAGTTGACTCCATGATCTATGTTGGAGAAATGGTGAGGTAAGGGCGATAGGACAACCTATTCACCCCCCACTTCTCCTTCCTCCTCCCAAACTCTTCATCATTTCAAAGGCCCATATTTTTTCAGCCCTAAGACACCACCACATGGTTGGAACAGTTAAGGAATTTATCACCTCCATTTCACTCAAGGGCTGAGACAACATAGGATGTAAGTTAGAACCAAGAAGGGCAACTCAGTACAAATTCCATGGAATAGCCTCTGTTACACACATATTGTTATCATCATCATTATGTTTAACAACTTATCTTGAACCTATTGATTGCTTTGTTTCTATTTTCCTCTGGCCTGTACCCTCACTAATTGTTATTGTAGTTCTGGGTTACATTTATTCAATTATCCTGCCTTTCGAAGGACTCTGTCTTTTTCTTTTTCTTTTTTTTGTCTTTGATCCCTTCCCCAGCATCTAGCACAGTTCTTGACATGTAGTAGGCCTTTGATAAATGTTTGTTGATTGATTCAACAGTTATTAAGCACCTACTATGTGCAGAGTGATGTGTTTTGCATTGGGGAAGATATAAAGATTAAACAAGATACATATGTTCCTGTCTTCATGGGATGTACCGTCCATGAGGGTGATGGACCACATATAAAAATAGCTATTACCTGCCCCTTGTCTCCCTAATACATTAAATATACACAAGAGTAATGAAATAAGGTGTTATAAGGTCAGAGGTGGAAATCATGGAAATCAAGGAAAGCTCCATGGAAGGAGTGGAATTTGAGTTGGGCTTTTAAGTGTGAATGGTATTCCAACATATGGAAGGAGAGTGTGAGAAAAGGCATAAAAGTAGTAAAATGCAGTAAGTCAGTAAACATTTATTAAGTACCTACCATATGTAAAGGTACTGTGTTAAATACTGGGAATAAAAAAAAAGGCAAAAGAAAATCCCTGTCTTCAAAGAGCTTACAAGAGACAAAAGCAAACAAATGTGCATAAGCATGCTCTATATAGAAAATATATGAAATAGTTAAAGAAGGAAAACACTAGAATTAGGAAGGGCTGGGAGAGGCAGGACAATGCAGGGGACATTAAATAGTCCATTGTGACTTGAGCAAAGAGTATATTTCAGAGTATGCTTTTTGTATTAACATTTATCTGCTTTGCAGTTGCCAGTTGGTCTTATCATTTGAGCCTTGAATTCTGTTAGGCTTTTGGTCTCAAGGACATATTAACTAAAATTAGACCTGTATACATATTGAACATACATACAGTGTTTTGCAGTCTCGATTATAAATGAGGTATTCTATTCTATTGTCCCTATGAACTACTAAACTCTTTCGGAAATTCCAACATTTTGGCAAAGAGAAATTGAATGACTGAGGCATTATAATATATTATGTTATGTTATCAAGCATTATGATGAAAATATACAGGATTCATAAAGCCACAAATAATAGCACCTATCTCCCAGGGTTGTTGTGAGGATCAAAAGAGATAACACCTATAAAGTGCTTTGCAAACATAAAAGCATTATATAAATGCAGCTACTATTATCATCTTAGCCTCCCCCCCCAATACTACTTATCCTTCTTTTTTCCTTTTGAATAGTATTTTTTTTTCTCAACTACATGTAAAGACAATTTTTACCATTCATTTTTTACCTGTACCGGTAATTCCCAACTGGAGTAGAGAGCTTTATGGAAGACCTCATGAAGGAAAGGACACTTGAGTCAGGCCTTGCCTTGAGGGAGTGATGGGATTTCATTAGGTAGAGATAAGGGAGGTTGTGCTAGGGATGGAGAATATATGCTTGGCATAGAGAAACATCTGAGCAGCGTCAAATAGTTCAGTTTGTCTCAAACTTACAGTACCCAGGAGGGAATAGTTTCAGCATTTGGGAGGCTTCTCGGTATATTTTCTCATACTCATCATCAATTCTGATGCTTATGCTGCACCAATGAAGAAGGTAATTTTGCTTCCCTCTTTCTCCCCACTCCCTTGAAAGTTCATAAAGCACCTTAAACCTATTCATAAGATCAGAGAATCTCAGATCTGGCAAGGCCCTCACAGATCATCTTGTCCAACCCATGTCTCAATTGAATCCCTTGACAAGTGGCCCTCTAGTCTCTGCTTGAAGACCTCCAATGAAGAAAAAGCCACTGCTTGCTAAGGTAGCCTGTTCAACTTTTGACAATTTTAATTTTTTAGGAAGTTTTTCCTTATATCAAGCCTAAATTTGCCTTTCTGTTACCTTCACTCATTGTTTCACATTCTTCCTCCTGGGACCGGGAAGAGCAAGTCTAATTATTTCTTCCTCCCCCTCTCACCTCCCCCTCTCCCCCCCATCCCTTCATGACCACCTTCTAGCCCTTTAAATACTTGAAGAATGTACTTTTTCTTTTTTTTTACATTTTACGTTTTCTCTTCTCCATGCAAACTATCCCCAGGTCCTTCAATTGATCCTTGCATAACATATCTTGAGTATCCAGGAACTGAAGTCTTATCCTTCACTCTAATACCCTAAGACTAAGTATAATAGACTTGGAATCAGAGCTTTATTTTAGCTCTGACACTTACTAGGTGTATGCCTGTGGGTAAATAATTTATTTATCCAAATCTTGGTTTTTTCATTCTTAAAATGCTTATACTAATTATTTGCATAAATTATTTCACAGAGGTGTAGTAGTAGTTAAAAAACTCTCATGAAATAGTATTTTAAAGTGTGCAAAATACTTGCCTTTTAATAACCCTAAGAAATTGGATGGTAAATAGCACTCACCCTCCCTGAACTACTGAAAAAATATTTTAGTATGATAAAAGACTTAGGTAAACTTTAAGTTCAGTATGAGTTAACCATATGATGTCTCAGTTAAAAAAAAAGCTAACAATTCCAAAAGACTTATGATGGAAAATGCGATTCACATCCTGAGAAAGAACTGATGGAGTCTGAATGCAGATCAAAGCATACTGTTTTCACTTTCTTTATTTTTTCATATTTTTTTTCCTTTTGGTCTGTTTCTTCTTTCACAACATGACTCATATGGAAATATGTTTTACATGATGGCACATACATACCTGTATTAAATTGCTTACTATCTCAGGGAAAAGAGAGGGGAGGGAAGGAGAAAATTTGGAACTCAAAATTTTATAAAAAAAATGAATGTTAAAATTGTCTTTACACATAATTGGAAAAAATAAAATACTATTTAAAAGAAAAAAGGACAAATAGAGTTTGGGGGAAAAAGGCTAAGATGATAATAGTAGCTAGCATTTATATAATGCTTTAATGTTTACAAAGCACTTTATAGGTGTTATCTCTTTTGATCCTCACGTCAACCCTGGAAGATAGGTGCTATTATTACTCCCATTCTACAGATGAGCAAACTGAGGCAGAGTGGGCAGTTGAGCTATCCAGGGTCAAAGAGACAGTAAATATCTGAGGTAGGGGTTGAAGCTCCTTCAGCAGGATGGAACTACTTCAGGAGTTCCCGAATTCAAGTCTAGCATGCTTTCCAGGGTCAAACAGATAGAAAATATCTGGGGTAGGAGTTGAAGTTCCTTCAGCATGATGGAACTACTTCAGGAATTCCCGAATTCAAATCTAGCATGCAATCCAGGGTACTGCCTGGCCTTCCAAGATGATCTTAAGCTACCTTAATAGAAGTACAGCCTCCAGAGCTAGTGTTTGGTACTGAGCTTTCTTGTATTTCAGTAGAGACATTAAAAAGCTGCAGCACAACCAGAGAAGGGCAAACAAGATGAGAAAGTGACTAGAAACTATGCCATGCAAGGATCAATAATGCATGCAAGGAATTCAATATGCTTTGAGTAAAGAACAGAGGGCTTTGGTATGGGTAGGAATAGGCATGATACCTGTCTTCAGGCATTTAAAAGGCTATCATGAGAATGAGGGATTAGCAATGTTGGGCTTGATCCCCAAGGGCAGAATGTAAGCGAATATGTGCAAACTGTAATGAAACAGATTTAAACTCAATAAAAAGAAAAAAATGTCTTGACAATTAGAGCTCTTCTAAAATTGAATGGGTTTCTTGGTGAGGCAATGACATATCTATTACTCAAAATACTCCAGCTAAGGATGGATGACCACTTGTCACAGATACTTCAGTTTAGGGTTGGACTCTATCAGTCTGTCAACAGGCATTTATTAAGTGCATACTGTGTGCTAGGTATTTGGGATATAAAGAAAGGGAAACACATAGTCCATGCCCGCAAGGAGTTTATATTTTAACAGAAGAGATAACGTGTCAATAGCTATGTTCATACAAGATAATTACAGTGTAATGGGAACTCTAAAGATTGAGATTCGGTGAGAAAACAACTAACCCACAGTTCAAAAATTTCTCATGAATAGAAAAACTAGAGAGATGTATGGATAGGATAGTTATCTGTTCTATTTAGTGGCCCCTCCACCCCCTGCTAGCTTTCTCAGGGCTGACTTCACTTCTTTGTTCCTCAGTGTGTAAATTAGGGGGTTCAACAATGGGGTGACAACTGTGTAAAACACAGCCACTGCGCCGTCCAGGGGGCTTTTGGAGCCAGGTCGGAGGTAGATGAATATGCAAGGAGCATAATATACAGTAACCACAGTGAGGTGTGAGCCACAGGTGGAAAAGGCCTTGCGCCTCCCATCTGCTGTACGGATCTGTAGGATGGCATAGACAATGTTTGCATAGGAAAGCAGGATCAGCAGGAAACAGCTGGCAGCCACCACTCCAATGTCTACAAAGGTCACTAGCTCATTGATAGTGGTGTCAGCACAGGCCAACCTCAATACTGCAGGGATGTCACAGAAAAAGTAATCTACCTGATTGGGACCACAGTATGGTAACCGGAAAGTCAGGGTAGCTTGGATGGTACCATGGATAGAGCCAGCCCCCCATGCTCCAGCCACAAGCACTGTGCACAGACGTCCATTCATTAGCACAGGATAGTGCAGAGGTCGGCATATTGCCAGGTATCTGTCATATGCCATCAAAGTATAGAGGAAACACTGAGTGCTTCCCAAGAAGTGAAAAGAATAGAGCTGGGCCACGCATCCTCCAAATTGAATAGCTTTGCTGGCAGGAGTGAAGCTCAGGATGATCCGTGGAACAATGACTGTAGAGAGCCACATGTCTAGGAAGGAGAGGACACCCAGAAGTATATACATGGGGCGAACATGGAGCTGTGGGTCAGCCCAGACTGTGAGTAGGATGAGCATATTCCCTAGTTGTGTCAAGATGTAAACGACTAAGAAGACTAGGAAGAGGAAGGTCCTCAGATTTGATGGGTGAGGTAATCCCAAGAGAATGAAGTCGGTCACTTTGGTCTCCATTGAGTTATTTTTGGCCTTTTCCATGTTTTGTATTCTCCTGAGGAGGAATAGCATGATAATTCACAGGTAGCACAGCACAATGAAGTGGGGAGATCATCTTGGGGGAGGGAGAATGATGATGTGGGAGAAGCTGTCTCAGGAGGCATGTGATAGAGAGACCCATGTTCTCTTCTAAATCGGTATGACAAAATAATAGGATATTTGAATCAGAAAGTACCAGAGACTATCTAGTTTGGCTTTTTTTTTTTTTACAGTTGAGGAAATAGATTCAGGGAGTTTAAATGGCTTTACCCTCCTCCTTATCACCATAGACTTAGGGTTGGAAGGGACTATAGAGGCCATTCATCTAGTTCAGTCTCCTCATTTGAAAGATGAGGAAATTGAAGTCTAAAGAGGTTTCTGTGACTTGCCTAAGGACACATAAATATGAAGTGACTGAGCCAGGATGAGACCACAGGTTTTCTGATTCCTAGTTTATTGATTTCTAGTTCTGATTCCTAGTTTATTATTTCTTTTCCTCCCACACACATCACACTGAACATTCGCGTTAGTCATCATATAACAAGGGCAATTTTACAGGGCATACCCTCCAGAGGATGGTTAGTTCTTGTAGGTACAAGTGGACTAAATATCCTTAGCAATGGAAGGTATGTAACAGGAGAGGAGGGGTGGAGATCATGGAATAAGAACACACCTGAATGACAGAGTAAGAAACAGTGAATCAGAGGGTCAAAGGGAAACCAGTAGAGATAGTTGAGTTGATATCTATCAGGGGGAGAATATTTCCATCCCGACCTTAGTTGTAAGCTTATGACTGCCACCTATATTTTGTAAACATGAAGTCAGAGCTGGACAGAGGACGTTCTATGAATAAATATGATAAAAGCTAACCTTATCCTTAATTACAAGCTGGAAAGTCAAATTTTATAATAAAATTGAAGAGATGTTCCCAATTATTTTATTACTAGAATTTAACTTCACTTAGTATAGCTTAACTAAAAAAAATTATTGACTCAGGCCTGGAAATCTTGATGCCCAGGATTTTGCTTGTAATGGTTTTTGTAATAGAACTTAACCTTTTGTATATTTTGTGTAAAAATGATCTGCTTCTCGGAGACCATGCTTTTTAAACATTTGAACATGGAGATTCCGAGGTTCAATTCTGGATAAATCAAAATTTTGATTTTATCAACTTAAATTTCAACCTACTTAACCAGTTTCATAGTTAAGTCTTATAAGGTCAAGAATCTTATGACAAAGTCCTACTAAACTGATATCTGATTTATCCCTGCAGATCTTCCTATACCTTTCCCATTTATGGCAGGGCACATCTGCATTTGCTTTGTCAGAAGTTATGCTGGGAGAAGGTTTCTTTTACTATTCTGGCCTGTAAGTGCTTCTTTAGGTGGGAAATAAGTGGGAATATAGTAATGAATAGAGGGTAAGTACTTTTTTTTTTTTGGTGAGGCAATTGGGGTTAACTGACTTGCCGAGAGTCACACAGCTAGTGAGTGGTATGTGTCTGAGTCCAGATTTGAACTCAGGTCCTCCTGACTCCAGGGCCAGTACTCTATCCACTGTACCACTTAGCAAAGTAAGTACTTTGGTAGAAGCAGTGAGAAGTGATTTGGAGGTTGGGGTAGTATATGTGGGGAGCTGGGTGTCTCTGAAGGAAGACTGTTAAGGCTGGTGCACCTGTCCTTTTGGACAGAAGGATTTCAGATAGTATGGTACCCATGGGATAGGGATTATAATTACAGGAAACATAGTAGATTTCAAGAAAAAGAATTTAAAGAGAATGCTTAGATAGAGCTCAAAAGAAACCAGGAAAAATTTACTCCTACTCTTATTTTGGCTGTTGAACTTCCAGGCCTTTCAAGGTGAGAAAGGAAAACTCAAAGTAAGGTCATAAGTTTAAAAATAATTTTAAACAAGGCTACACAGGATAATTATAGGGATGGGAGATAGGGACTAGGCCTGTGATTTCATTGGTACAAGGAACTCCCAGGTGAAGAAAATTCATTTACCAGTGCAGGTTGATAGCTTATTTGTAAAAAATATTTGTAAATATATATTTAGAGGGTTACCTAGAGCACTGAGAGGTCAAGAGACTTGTGCAGTCACATAGTTAGCCTGTATGAGAGGAAAGACTTGAACCTAGATCTTTCTGTTTTCAAGGCTAGCTCTCTATCTATTATACTATACAGAGTTTTCACTAGCTTGGAATTGTATTGAGTTTTGCTCAGATCAACTTGTGAATGGTATAGAATTAAACATAAAATAGAATTAAACATGTAATTAAAACTGGGAAGAAATGGAAATCCAGAAATATTACTGAAGACTACCAGCATTTAAATGAAAACCAGTAGTATTTGTTCCAGATGCCATTGTAAGTGGCTTCATAGGGATCAGAATTTAGGAAATGAAATGATACTGAAAGGGCAAGGAAATTCAAGATAAGGATTGTTTGACAAGGTTGAACAGAACTATGTAATACATAGGCACAAGAGGCAAGTGCAAATTTAGCTCAACCCTGCATTGGGTGGTCCATGTTTGCCTGGTTTTGTTTCTGAGGGGAATATGCTCTCACCTGCAATTCTGACATAAATAGGGGAACTCAGGTCTACTCTAGTTTATGGGCCATCAGAAAGTAGGTCTGAATTCTTGCTAGGAATGCCGGAGTTGGGTCAGATGAACTAGGTTACTATAAAATCCTTGGTCAGGACTGATGCATGTTATGATATAACCTTATCACAGAGTGGCTCAAGGTCAGGGAGAGTGGTCCAAGGTGAATCGTCATTCACTTCCATCTGTCAGTCTTCAGGTTCATAAGAGATTAGAGAAAGGGAGACAGAGTCCTATGCATCCCATACAAATAGTAGGTTATGGAATGACATTTGGTAAGGATAGTGCTTCCAACCTATCAATGAAGTAATAGAATTATGGAAGGAGTACTGGACTTTTAAACAGATCTGACTTCATCTAAGCTTTGCCACTTACCAGCTCTATGATCTTGTATAAGTTATTTAAACTTCTGGAGCCTCAGTTTCTTTATCTGTAGGAGAGGGACAATACAACATTGTTGTGAGGGTCAATTGCCCTACAGGTTTAAGTTTTTTTAAAACATAGTGCTCATCACTAAAGAAAGAATCTTAGTGGCCTTTAGCATTTTTGTGTTTGTTTAATTTTTAGTGTACTTTCTTCATTAAATAAAAATGACATACTAGTACTCTACCTATTGTTTGACATTTCAGCCTTCCTTCACTTCCCCCAGCCAAGTCACAGTAAGTACTTTTATTTATTAAGCTTTTTTATTCTTTTCATCAGTACAAAGAAAAAAAAGTTTAAATTTTAGAGTTTTTTTTTTAGTTAAAAGCGAGAGTGACAAATTCAGTAGAGACAGAGACAGAAGAATACAGATTGACTGACTAAATGGACAATTGCACAAATCATTAAAAAACTTGATGTCTGTAACTTAACTCTGATCTCTTTTTATGAATGTAACTGATTCTGGGAACACTTTTTTGTCCCCTCAGACTCACACAGAAATTGCAGCAGAATTCTCAGAAAGGCTGACCTGATTTCCAGACAAATGGCCCAACCATAGATAGAGCTGCTCTTCAGGGAATCATTCTGTCCAGTGATGGCAAAATCCAGGTCTAGGCTTTTTAAAAGTAATTAGTTGATGGACTGAGTTCCTGAAAATGTTCTAAGATGATTATAAACTTATTAGAAAATATCCATGTGACATGACTTTTGAGCCAGTTGGAAGAAAGTGTCTTCAGCTCTTGGTGTAGCTGAGCTTCACATACTCATGTCAAGCTCTCTAAATAGAGGTCCTTCTATACTTATTGACTCATGGTTTACATAGATTTACAAAGCTTTCCTTTGACATGATTAGCTAGTTTCTTTTGCTCTTATTTTTCTAATACTGTCAAGGGACTTGCTGTAGATACTTAGGGGGATTCTTAGTTGATCTTAAAATCTTTATCTCTTGAGATTTATATTCCCTAAGTTCTCATTACTTTGGAAAGAGAGGAGGGAACCTTTCTAGTAGAACACTGAAAAAGTGGGCTACAGGGAATAATTCAGGTTGAGCAATGGCTTACTTGGGGTAACATCTAATTTCTATGAATTCTATCCTTAGACCACTTTAAGTAAGGAAAAAGAAGTGAAAATTGCATTCCCTTCAATGTCTCTGATATCTATCTCACAACAAAAATTTGATCTTGCCAACAAAGAGACATAGAAGTCAAGAACAGCATCTATTCAGAAAATACACTCATTTGCAAAAGACCACAGAGGATTATGGCAGATGATTATGACCAGTATTGCCTTTATTGGGATAGGGAGTACACTTGTGATTTCACTAGTAAAGGAAACTACCTTATGAGCAAACTCTATCTACTAATACAGGTCAAGACCTTTTCTACATTTAGTTTTGAAGAGGTGCCTAGAGTTCTGAAAAGTTAAGTGACTTGACTGGAGCCACATAGCCCATATGAGTCAAAAGCAGGATTTGAACTTGATCCTGATCTAAGGCCAGCTTTCAACCACATTATACTGTTTCTCTTATCACTGTCATAAAACAGTAAAAAGTAGCAGAAGCAAAAGCAAATCTTTGGGAAGTTTGACAGGATACCTAGCTCAGCAACATCATATCCTAAAAGTATTCAGAGATGAAATTGACAGGAAGACAACAAATAGATGGAAAATGGAACAGATCATTTATATAATCAATATTTATTATCAATGACAATGAAATCATTATATTTGCATATTCATACCTCAATCCCCATGTATATACTGAAAAGTAGAAATGTATCATAAGAAGATAAAATTGATACAAGGAGTTGGTCCAGACCACGTACACACAGAATGAATCATTGCTGGAGGCAACACAATCTTGAAAACATTGACAGAACATCTTTCACAGAGGGGAAGTACAGATGATATAATTATTAGCAATGAGCAATTGGAAAGACATCAATAACTACCTACTTTTTAATTTAGATACCTTTTAC